ACGCGTGTCCGCTTATAAACCACCGCCGAGCCGAATCGTTCCTCCCGCTCTCCGCATTATTACTATTAATTTGCTTAATATATCACAATGTGGTCGATTTTCCCTTCTATCCGCGATCCATCATACTCCCCCAATTATTCCTTCTGCTCGCTCGTTCTTTACGTACACATGTATTAATTATTGTTGTCTCATCCCTGTATTGTCGATTCCTTACGTCGGTTAATATCTCGATTTTCCTCGTTGCATGAAGGCGATGTCGGTAAGTGATAGAGAAATAAAGTCGGGCTTATTACAATATATCGTTATATCATACGCTTAAAATCCGCCGATAATACGTTATATTACCATCTCCGCTCTCTTCTCTTCTCTTGTATATATATCTATTTATATGTATATATATATTTTTTGTTCCTCCGCACTCCGCTCCTTCCGACCCTTTCGCCTCCTCCCTCCTCGTTCGCCGTATATGTATAATATGTATATCGCATATATACGCGTGTGTATATTTATACGTATATAAATTAAAGATTCGTTACGGGGCGCCATATGCTGCGATAATAAATAATACGTCGAGTATGTGCGCGCGTGTGCACAGTCGCGATACTCCGGACACTCAATTATTTATTCGACATCAGTCTTGTGTGAAGCTGCATCGAAGCTCGCTATTGACAACGCATTTCTCTTTCTAGATCCATTACGTCTGATAAATAAACCGGGAACGAGGTCGTAGAAAAATTCGTGAACAGCTTGCAGGAGTCGATTAAAGTGGAGAAATGGAGAGAATTTCTACGCGACGACTGCGAATTGGCAGTCATTGACGCGCTTTTTCTGGTTCTGTAGCAAATGTTTATATGTAACAGGATTGAAATGAGAGAAATTGTAATGTTCAGAAAATACAGAAACTTCGCATTTGCGAACTTCATTAATCGTCTGCGAATGTTTCATACAGGTGTAAAGAGAATAGAAATTAAAACCAGCAGATACGAGCCTCTAAATCAGGGGTGTCAAACTCGCGGCCCGAGATGACCATTTTTTATGTCAAGTATCAGGGCGTAAACAATAATTTAACTTTATATATGTTTATTACAATGTACTGGTGAAAATAAAAATATTTGTTTCTATGAACATTGATTTTTGTTTGCGGCCCACCTAAAGGAAAGCATTGTTTATTTATTATTATGGCCCAAGTTAGCTTTTGAGTTTGACACCCCTGCTCTAAATTAATAAATATACGAATTCGCGACCTCTAAAAAAATTAAGTGTACTCAGCGATATGAAAAAGTAGTTGGAAATAGATCGTTCTTCCGAAGTGTAAAGAAGAAACAATAGAACAAGATGCTTTTCCACATCGCGTCTAAAAATGCACACAATAACACTGAGTCAGTTAAATAACAATTAGCTAATCGAGTTAAAGAATAATTACCCAAACGAGCTAAAACATTGCAAAACAGCGAAACCAGAAAGAGCCGTCAGATGTTTCAATCGAGAAACGAACTGCTCGCGTTTTAATCGTCCCCTCATAATTCGCCTTGGAAAATCGATAGCGAGCTCGATCCGGTAGCACATACGCGCCGAGCAGACGAAACCATTAAATCCGCGGACGTCTTCTGGAAATCCGTTCGGTTCGCGCGGCTCCGTTATCGCGGTCGGCGTTTCGTCCGCGCGCGTAATCGCGATAGCTTGCCGCGGAACGCGCACGGTTACGCGCCGCGAGAGAATTGTGGCAGTGAGCGGAAAAACGTTCGGAGCACGCGAGCCTCGTGTGCGTGTACGATATCAACGAAAAATATGACTCTTTTTTCGGCTGGGTGGGGTCCGCAGAAGCCTGTAACTCACCTGCCGCCCGGAATTTAAGAGAGAGTTGAAATAACGTTTTTTTTTCCCCGCGTGTCTCGGCGGGGAGAAGTCTGCGAAAGATGTACAGGGTGTTCGCTTTATCATCGTTTCGGTGTTCCGTTTGCAACGGGACCGGTTGACACGGAAAATAAAAACTTCGACGTACACTTTTTGTGCGACAACCTCGATCGATCTCTAACGATCCGAAAATTTGAAACACCAAGGAGATCGTATTTATCTTTGTCTTCGCGAGAGGATGTAGGAGGTTCCCAGAAGGATCCTACGCCATTCTGCTTGTATAATGTAAAAAAATTACAGCCTCGCCCCGAACAATAAGGTCTCCTTTCTGTTTCTCAGCTCGTTAAGAATCGACGAAGCATATTGTTAGAACAAAATTCAACGGAGCTCCGTTTTCTGCATTTTCTATTCGTCCCGTTGCGTTACAGCTTTGCATATCCTCGAGATTGTGAATGAGTGAAACCGTTAATAATTGCAGAGGAACACAAGGAAGGACGCTCTACAACTTCATTGTCGAAACATTTCATTGAAAGCATGTAGTAAAACTGTTTTGCAAACGAAATAAGCTGGCTGATTATTATGCTATGTACTACGACTTTACATGCTAACATTCCAAAACAAAACAAGAAGTTTCGAACATAATTGGCTAAACATGAACGTAATTTAACTTCTCTTGAAAGAACATTTCTGTTGTCGATATTTGTATAGGAATTTCTTAGCGACAGAGAAGTAGTAATAAATAGACTGCGGATTTTTATGCGAAATAAGAATTGCCGACGTTAACTGCTGACTACACGAACTATCCGGACATTTATTCCCTTTCTCAACAATTTCAATGAGACGGAAAAAGTACAATAGTACTTTCAAATTCTTCGAATATTTTCGCCGTTTCGATCTACTTATTAGGTTGGGGAATAAGTTCGTAGCGTTTTTATAGTTTCTTTTATTTTACAACGATCTTTTACTGTTGGACAAAGTGTATAATATTCATTCGATAGAGCTCTTTCTGCTCTACGAAACTGTGCTAATCGTCTTTTTGAGTAATTTAATTTTTTATTACTTTTGAGGCGTAGAAACGGAATATCCAGGAGGTGAAAAGCAACATTTTCGACACCTTCTCTTCTTCGCTTTTCATCGAGGCCGAAAAGCTGCCGAAGCAGCCCGGGACATTTGCAACGTATACGGAGAAGGTGTCATAGACGATTCTACAGCACGGAAATGGGTTGCGAAGTTCAAAAATGGCGATTTTGACGTCGACGACACGCTCCGCAGCGGAAGACCTTCTGAATTCGACGAAAAGCGTCTCGAAGCACTTTTGAAGGAGGACGGTCACCAAACAAGTCGCGAATTGGCCGAAAAAATAAACTGCGATCATAAAACGATTCTCGATCATCTTCATTCGATGGGATTTGCCGAAAAATTGGGAGCCTGGGTGCCTCGCGAGCTTAACGAAAACAACGAAGAAAATCGCCTTCAAATAAAAACGTTACGAACTTATTCCGCAACCCAATATTTTCGTCACGAATCCACTAAATCCGCAGTCTACTAATCAACGTAGCTTCTAAAAAAAATCATAATGCAAGAAGAAGTAGCGAAATCTCGAATTACCAAATTTCTCCAATTAATCGTTCTTCGCGACAACGCCCCGCGCCTCTCAATTTCCCGAAACAGCGAAGAAACAGAATCGAGCGGAGAATACACGAAGAAGTTCGCGTATTTCGACGAGAGCTCGAAACGAGCAAACGGAGTCGCGTTTTCGACCGACAGCGTACACGCACGGTCCGATCAATCGCAGCTCCGATCCGCCTTACGTTATAGAAAACCGGTGGATTGTTTTCGCGCCGACGAGTGGCGGCTAACATTTTTTTTTTGGTTCGTGGTCGTGCACACCCTGTACTCGGTAAAACTGGCAGAAAATAGAAATCGCAGATAAGACGGCGGTCGGTTGGAGCTCGTCGATGCTCGAGGATCGCGGGCCGACCCGAACGCATCGGAGCCGGAGTTTCCAGAAGAGTCGAGAAACAGCGCTATCGCGCGCCGTCGTTAAACTGATATGCCAATTGTAGTTACAACTCCGGTTTACGCGGTCCTTCTACCCGTCGCAACTAGGTTAAGTCCTTTAGAGCACGATACTCGAGGTACACCCGCTAGTACGGTATTAGATGCTATATGCACGGAAATTGCGCCGATGGCAGTGTTCGTCGGGAAAGATGTCGATGGGATCGACTGCGTCGAATACCGATCCTCCGCGCTATCTAATTGGATGCTTCGAAGTTTGAACGTAGAGAACGGCGCGTTTCGAACGGCGGACCGTATTTTTCCCCGTTTCTATTGTTATCGTTCGACTGCCGCGGTCGATTCGAGATACGCACTCGGCTGTCTTTACCTCCGGTTCCACTTGTTTAGTTTTACGCTAGGCCTTCAGCATCCATTGTCCGATAGCTACTCTCTATCGTAAAAAACGGAAACGCGATTGTAGCTTGGTCGAAAAGCGACCGAGCAACCGATCGTTCGCGGCGCGTTCTCGGTGGTTAACCTTTTAGGCACGACGCGCCACTATGGTGGCTTCCGCGGATGTTATCTTTCAGAACGACACGCCACCACTATAGCGTCTTTCGCGGATGTCATCTCTCTGGACGACGCGCCACTATAGTGGCTTGCTCTAGTAGCTCACTCGCTCATCGTTTGAACCAAATAATCGTCTTCATATGCATTGTTTCACACTTCTTTTGTCCTCGCATCGATTTACAATAGTCTACAGGATGTCCCAAAAATGTCTCGCAATCCGGAAATGGCGGATTCCTCGGATCGTTTGAAGCAACTTCTTCCTTTACAAAAATGTTCTCCGAGGCACCGTTAACGAGTTATTAACGAAAAACAGTGACCAATAAGAACCGAGTACGGCTGCCGCGAGGCGGCCCAGCCAACCAGCGCGCGAAGCCCAGTTCCGCTCATTGGCTCGATCGCCTCGCGCCAGCCGAGCTCGCCTCTCATTGGTCACTGTTTTTCGTTAATAACTCGTTAACGATGCCTCGGAGAACATTTTTGTAAAGGAAAAAGTTGCTTCCAATGGCCCGAGGAACCCGCCACTTTTGGATTGCGAGACATTTTTGGGACACCCTGTATATACAGACAGAATATACAGTATCAGACTCTGCCGTTCAGAGAAATAGCTTCGCGCAGAATTCAGCCGTACCTAAAAGGTTAATATCGATTGGATTATTTACAGATCGCGTCTCGGCGATGCCGGGACCTCGTCGTCCAATCGAATCGATTCGAACCCGAGGATGACTCGCGGAGGGTTCGCGGATGCTGAAGGATCGAGATCTATCGCGCGCGACTTCTCTACGTTGGGCGTACGAAACTGTCTCGTACCTTTGATCCAGCGGCGTGCCGCGTGCGTTCCGCAGGGTGCAGGGCTTCTTACGCGTATCTGTGCAACGAGTGTTCGCGGCGCTTGCTTCCCCTGCGCTCGCGTTCACAAATTGGCTCCGGGCTCGGCGGATTCGAGTACGTCAGATTGCTGGAACCTCGAGTGGGCGGCGCGCTCATCGGCGGCGGGGGCGGAGGGAAAAAGCTCTGCAAGCACGCCTGCCGCAACAGAGAAAATTAAACGTGTTACTTTCCGGATGTGGGGCTGCGCGTTGTGTCGCGCTTGTTAACGCTGGAGCTAAGGCTTAGAGGCGAAAACCGACTTTTCAGATAAGCCAGCTGGAATTTTCGAACAAGTAGTGGAATTTTAGAAGATTGCAATTCCAAACTGGTTTGGAAAAATCGGCAAACGCTAACTAAAGGTGTGAATCGGTGAAATTGCAAAGATAACACGTTTCAGCAAACATAATTTTGTTTGTAGAATATGAGCCTCTTTGCCTTACAATTTATTATGAAAAAAAATGTGCGCGTGCAGACAACTTAATTTAGCTCAATTCTATGCGAGGACTCATCGCAAAATAGAACTACGGTATTTTTGTTTTTATTTGATATATTTATATAAATGTGGACATTATTTTATTCGAAATTGAACAGATTAATAAAGTAATGATAATATTAAGTATAAATTGAAACATATCTCTCTCAAGTTACAATGAAATTAAGACAAAACTTCTTAAGATGAATGAAATTGTTGTGGACAAAATTTGCGAACTATTTAAATTCCTTTTTAATATTGCTCATTTTCTAATAAATCATTATAACTAGAATCACGGAATTATAGAGAAAAAAAGACGGTAAGAGAATATGTAAATATCATAATAATATTTTTTTAACAGTTAGAAAAAATTTACATGGTTTTTGAAACATTTAAATATATGCGGTGGGCGTTAATTAAATTTTTTTAGATATTATATATTTTTTGCAATGTCTTTACCGTAGATTCGAGCGTGGATTATATCATGGAACATTTTTAGAAGCTCACCTGAGAATATTGTCTATAGTGAAACCTTGATCATTCGAACCGATCGATTCGACAAAAATGTTCAGATCTTAGAATAATTCCTTTAGTCAACATTGAACTGAAATTTCACTGATTTACACAATAAGTTCTGTTGTTTATGGCTTGAGTTAGATTGAACAGTTCAAATGTAAACTATATTTATCCAACACGAGAGTTATTTATTACACGAGGAATTCAGACACGAGGGGTTCGAATAATCGAGGTTTTACGGTAGTTTCAAATACACGTTTACATAATTACAACTGCATGTTTGAAAAGGGCGTATAAACTTCATTACGAAGCTGTGAATTTACACAAGTACCCGCAGTTTAACGACAGTTTTAATTGGATTCGATTACGATTTAGTCGTGATTCAACGTCGAATGAAACTACTCGATAAAAATCCACTGCAACGGCGTGTACAGTTGTAATGATATAAATGTAATGATCGGAATTGTAGTTTTAGGAATAATGAATGTGTGTGAGTTGATTAGTAAATGCTCACCTTTGCGCTACCCCTTGATGAAGACTTTGAGAATACGCTATCCTGGTCGCTGCTTACACTAGGCACGGGCATTGGTACTGCGTAATCGTAAGTGGCATCTGTCAACATATTCGAATCGCGTCTTCATTAACTACACTTACAAACTAGTTCGGCAATAAATATTTTAAAACAATTAATGCAAAGAAACAGTTGTTCAAAAAATTATCGATTCATCCAGTTAACTAATCACTTTAATTCGATCCGTTTTGTTTTATCCATAATTGCCCATTGTAAACGAATTTATCATAGTCTGCATCAAAATCACAGATAAATATTTAATAAGATCTAAAACATAAAATTAACACGAAACCCATCGGCCAGCGAAAATGGCCGATTTCACATTATTTGTTTTAAAGTTGCTGAAATTATAAAAACTCTTTCATGGAACATGATTGTATAAATGTATTAATTCAAGCATAGATTGTAATAAAAACGACAGAAGGGGTCTAAATGATTACAATCTTTTCGTCGTTACACAGATATACAGGGTAAGAAAGAGATGAATCCTGAGGTCATTTGAAGCAACTTTTTCCTTTACGAAAATTTTCTCCAAGGCTTCGTTTACGAGTTATTAATAAAAAACACTGACCAATAAGAGGCGAGCTCGGCTGGCGCGCGGCGACCCAGCCAACGAGTGCACGGAGCCCAGTTCCGCTCATTGGCTCGGCCGTCTCGCGCCAAACGATCTCGCCTCTGATTAGTCATTGTTTTTCGTTAATAACTCGCAAACGAAGCCGCGGATTGCATTTTCGCTAAGGAAACAGTTGCTTCAAATCACCTCAGGAATCCCCTACTTTCGGATTGCGAGACATTTTTGGGACACCCTGTACAGGCAAATTACCTTTAAAACTCGGAAGGTATACCGTCAATGAGTTTCCACTCGAATAACATACGAGAGATGCACAGAGATTATCAAAACGACGAGACAAAGGAAAGATTGAAATTAGTAGACAATTAGTACTCACCAGACTGTTCAACGCTATCATGGAGATCCTTGTTGTCTAGAACAACAGTACTGTATCCATAGTAAGCTGCGTGCGGCGGTTCCCGGTACTTATTCTCGTGGAAAGGTTCCTGGTACTCGTCGAGCCTGACATCTCCCAGCAGACGATCGTTCAGATCGCGGGGGAGCGTCGTCATTTTGGTTCCAGCGTAACGGTCATCGAGCTCTTCGACTCTGTAGGTCATCAACGAGGGATCCTTCTCCGTGGTGCCGTACGCGGACTCCGGAGACAGGTGTTGATGATTGCCCGAGGGTATCGCGCTCTTCGCGCCCAGCGGACTGGCAAAGTTCTTCCTTTGCCTGTGTCGCGAGACGATCAGGAAGATCGCGACAGCGAGCAGGAGGATCACCGCGGTTAAAACGCCGATGATCACTGCCATGTAAGTGGGATCGTCCTGCTTTACGACTGGCACTTCGGCTTGAAGAGGATTGTCACGCGCTGAGATCCGATCTCGCAATCTGGGCGCCTCGGTCGTGGGCGGTGCTTCGGGGGTGAAGTTGCCGTGAGCGACGTCTGAAAATAGCAAATCGACGCCTCCTCACTGATCTAGCAACGTACTCGCAATTCCACAGGCGAGCTTGCGCTGCTTATTGTTGAATTTTATCAGTTTTTAGGTCCTTAAAACAAAAGTCAGACTCCAGATGAAGATTTCATACATAATTCACTAAATACGAATGGTATTTGTTTCTTCTAAATCGAAACAAAATTTGATTCTTCCGTTAATAAAATCTAGAAACGAATATTGTAAATAAATATTGTCTCATTCATTCTCAATCAACGTAGCTATGAAAGAAATCGTAGTGCAACGGGTGATCTTTTTCCATCAGCTATGGAATGAGTTCATTGTTGAATTATAAATACAACCAACTTGGTTAGAACAGCATTTGTATACCATGCAATTGTGGCGTCATCGAATGTTATTCTAAATCAGTGACATAAGTAGCTGTTGACGCGAACATCGATGTTGAGTCTGACTTGATGTGGGATCGGAAAGAGGTCAAAATTACTAGCCGCTATTTTTATAATTTTCAATCTCACATTTAGAAAATGCAGCAATGTACGTTTTTACCAAATAAGTATAATACTTACCGGAATCGAAGGTGATCTCACTGATCATGATCCACCGAGAGGCGAAGCTTAGCTTCAACTTGACGAACTTGCCGATTCGATGATGGAGCTTGATCGAGATGTTCCTCGAGTGTTCGAAGATTCTGTCCTCCATGTACGAGTACACGATTGGATCGCCGGTATAGTAGCGACCGCCGACGCTGAACATAATACTCGCTTCGGCAAACACCTGCAAACAGAAGACGGGACTCTTCGTCATACATGCTTGTTGCTTCCAGTTGAACAAAGCTGGTTAATCTTTAAATTCAATGAAGTTTATAATCTGTGGTTTTCAAGTCCAGTGGACCCTATCTATTTGAAAGCCTTATATCTTTCTCGTATTTCTATATTATATTAATTCTATTATACTAATTTTTTAATAAACAGTCATAATATATTATATTATATATTATATTATTATTATATATATTATTATATATTATTATTATTATATTATATTATATATTATGATTATTATATTAGGGGGACCGGAAAGTAATGTCGTTTCTGCGCATGTCAGTATTCCTTTTTTTTGCATACTAATTTTTGCATACTAAAAATTTGCATACTAAATGAAAAAAGGTTGTTGATAATGAGGGTGATTACATCATTGATTGAAAATAAAAACCAGTTAAAAATTTATCTGTTTGAATTTAATGTAAACAAACGACATAACTTTCTGGTCCCCCTAATATATTATATTATATTATATATTATTATTATTATTATATATTATATTATATATTATCAATCAATATTATTTCTTACTTGGGTTTCACAAGCACCGCAAGTAGGTTCATTTTTTCAGAAGTTCACGCGTTAGATTAAAGATCGAAGAAATATTTCCACTATTTCATGACACTGTTTCCAATACATATCGTTCCCAATCTTCTTCATATCAAAAATTTCACGTAGTTCCTTTCAAACGTTATTTCCCATTTCCACGTTCCCTTATATAAATAGTTACTTCTCCTGCACGAGTACGGACCTTCGAGTCTTCCTCCACCGACATCGTATCGCGCGCAAAGGTTATAGCAACGAGCGAAACTAAGCCGCCCATTGTGCGCGCTAAACATGATATACCGGCTAATACACGGTATTAATTATGTGTATAAATCAGCTTCTCGTAGCGCGGCTAGAGTCCATGCGAGCGAGCGGGTCCGTGCCAGGGGAATCAGCTGGATATTAATACATCCCGCGAATCCTCTTCCACGAATACCCGGCCAAACTATTTATTACGGATGTAACGAGCAACTTTATAGAGGCAACACTGGCTTGACATCGACGACTTCGATAATTGCTAGCATCCCGCGGCAGCGCTTCCAGCGGTCGTAGTCGCGCAGAATGCTAATTCCGCTCGAGGAGAGCGCAAGACGGTTACGCGCGGGGAATACCGTAGAACCGGAAACGAAGAGTAGGAAAGCTCGGGCTGGAAGAGAGGTTGACGCGCCGGCGAGCGAGAGCGAGCGCACGGGCGAAGCGGGCGGAACAGTGGCGTGGGTGGGTGGTTTTCAGGGGGCGCGAGAGCGCGCGAGGGCTTGGAAACGGAGATTACAAAGCTGAGATTATCTAACTCTCTTAGCCCCAAAGACGAACGCAACGACGACGCGTATGGATTTTCAAGGGAGCCACGGAGCATCGAAGCCGGCTGAAGCTCGTCGACGACGGTCGGCGAGAGTATGAGGAAGCCGAAGAAGACGAGCCAGGGCGGCCATGAAGCGGCGGCGCGGGGCGGGCAAGCATGTGGGACAGACGAGGAGCGAAACCGGCGATGCTTTGAAGTGCTGTCTTTCAGAAGACGTGTCCTATCCGCGCGAACGAGCGCTTGTTAATAGGAGGGGACGTTTAGGGGTGGCTGCTGCTACCACCTTGCCGTCGTCTCACCCCTTACCTCGTACCTCAGTCATAGACTGCCGACTTGCCAGACTGTCGGTATTGTATTTGAATACGTGGCGTATCTGCTCCTTCGGCTCGTTGCTTGCCACCATTGTGCGTGACCGAGAGAGAAAGAGTACAGCGAACCCAGACTGTTCCTCTCTCGCTTCTCCATGAACCTTATTTACTTCCTTCCTTCCTCCCTTCCTTCCTTCCTTTGCTTCCTTCCTTCCTTCCTTCCTTCCTTCCTCCCTCCCTCCCTTCCTTCCTTCCTTCCTTCCTTCCTTCCTTCCTTCCTTCCTTCCTTTGCTTCCTTCCTTCCTTTGCTTCCATCCTTCCTTCCTTCCTTCCTTTGCTTCCTTCCTTCCTTCCTTCTTCTCTTCCTTCCTTCCTCTTTCCTTCCTTCGCGGTCTCGACAACCGATGCAACCCGCCGCTTGTGCTGCCCTTGCCTTCGCCACCTCTCGTTTTCTGCCTCTCCACGACTCTCAATCTTGCCCGGTCGCGGGCACACAATCGAGCCCCGAGCTGGGTAATGAGGCGCTCCATTCAAATAAATCTTGATACCGGCGAGCAGAGTGTTTCGAGACCCATTACGTAAGAGATTCGCGCATCAAGCGACGTCGCCCCGGAAAACTTACGTTTTCTGTAGGCCGACGGCCTGCCACAGCCTCGGGATCGTTATTCCTTGATCGTCGAAACCGTGGAACGATGAACCCTTGTGCTCGTTTAGATTTTTTGCCGCTTTGTTAACATTTCTGCCGTCGGACTTTTTAGCGTTCCGTTTTTGCTGGCTTCTAATTATTATATATTATATTATTATTATATATATATTTTATATATTATATATATTATTATATTATTATTATATATATTATATATATTATTATATATTATATTAATAGCGATAAAATCGGTTTGCTAATTATTAAATTGGTTGGCTGATTATTATAACCCTTTGCACTTGAAGTTATTTTAACTGTAAATATAAAATCATTTTTCTAACTTACAGTATTTCTATTTTATATGACAAAATGCATTTTATGCACAACGGTTACACTGTTAACAATTTTTTAAATCTAAACTTTGTTAATATAACAGTTTTCTTAATGCGTGATATTGGCTGATTATGAAAAATTGTCTTCTTGTCGGACTTCCATATGGAAATGTAACTTTTGGATGACAGCATTTCAAAGGTATCGTCTGGCCACGTAATTCCTGACATTTAATTTTAATAGGAGATTGTTTAGTTGGAAACAATGAGTGCACAGCGTGTAAACATTTCATCTCGTTTCAGGTTTGAAATACTCAGTCATAGACATGTGAAGTTTCAGTTCTCTGTTATACTTTGCTTCATACGATTAAATATAGGAGCTACAAGGGCACAATATGAGCCGTTTATTTTGAAAGTGGCATAAGTCACTTTTCTTTTTTTTTTTATTTAAATGAAAAGATGCCGTTCAATTGTAATTAGTGTTACCATTAACTCGATTTTTTTGAAAAAGTGACTTATGCCACTTTCAAAATAAACTGCTCATATCTTTAAGCGTTAGACTGCTGGCATGATGCCATATAAAATCCCTGATGCTGTATTGTATTTGCAGAACAGGTAGTTGCCTTTCACATCTGACTGGATTTGTGAAAAAAATCATTTATGGTGTAGCCTACAGTTTCTAACAACATATTAAGTTTCCTAAATATCTTTGGTCACAAATTGAGTCGGATAAAAGAGAACTACCGACATACGTTACAACATTATTGACTCCATATGGCATCATGGCTGGTAGTCTAAAGGTTAAACTAGTCGTACCAAAAGAACTTGTTGAAGCAAGAAGTAATTTCTTGAGTCTTGGAAAGCCTTCACATCCTGAAGTGCAGAGTTTCCATATACCTGAGAGTACACAGGTATAAAAACATGCGTTGTCGCCCAGGCCTCCCAGGTTCTTCCGTACTCTCATACTGTGCGCTTGTTCACCGTGTCTCCTTCACTTCTTTCTTAAATATAGTTATTTGCTCATTCTATATACACCCTTTTATTTCAAATAACCTCCTCAACAGAACTTCATTTATTTCGTGTAACAATCAGCAACTTGGAATCATTTCTTTCACAAAATAACTAGCACCGCACTCAGAACGCACCTTTCGTTTCGATAAAACATACAGCCAAAGCAAATTCGCTGAATTTCCAAAAGCATGGAGTACGAAGAAAATTCACTGATACACTTTCCAGAGCGATTCTACTCGTGCTCGCCTCAATTATCTCTGTCGCCGATATAACAATCAGCAACTTCGAATCATTTCTTTCACAAAGTAACTAACACCGCACTCAGAACGCGCCTTTCATTTCGATAAAACATACAGCCAAACAAATTCGCTGAATTTCCAAAAGCACGGAGTACGAAGAAAATTCACTGATACACTTTCCAGAGCGATTCTACTCGTGCTCGCCTCAACTGTCTCTGTCGCCGATATAAGAATAGGATAAAAGTAAAACGGTTCGTTCATTTGTGCAGAGCAAAAGTATCCCCGGCCCGTTGTCCGACTCTGTCGAATTTTTCATTCGAGCGCAAAGACATAAAAAGAAATCGCGAGCGAGGTAGGCGGAGAGATTCGACGAGAGAGAGAGAGCGACGGGCGGCAAGGAATTCCGCGTCTTAAAGGCTGCTCCTTTCGCCGCGGATTGTTTGTTGTTCCGAGCCCTTTTCGCCGCTCGATTATGGAGCAGAGGTCTGGCCAGGGTAATGAGGGGTTCCATTGAAATAAATCTTGATACCGCGGCGAGGCCATTATATAGAAATTCGTGGCCGGAAGCTCGCGGGGCCGGAAAATTTCCCGAGAACGGGCAACACCCAGCGCCACCACAGCCCCTAGGGCGGTCGCGACCGTTGTTGCCACCCTGTAAAATCGCATCGCGCTCTTCCCCCCGTCCACCTCCGCTCGTTTCCTCTTTCTCTTTTCATCCGTTCGAAACCCAGGGAGACCCGGCGTTGTTGCGCCTCGTTACCCATCCTACGGCCGACCTCGACTCCGACGTGGAAACTGGATTTCATGGTGTGCACCATCGTTTCGCCAACCCCGATCCACCCGCCCAACCCCCGGCGACCATGGATTAAAGACCGACGCGAGATCTTCGCGCACGTTTCGCCGCGACTTCGCGCCTCGCATTTTTTCGCTCTATGTTCCTTTGTTTCTCTCTCTCTCTCTCTTGATTCCTCTGTATGCTATTTCGCTCTTCTCTCTTTCTCTCTCTCTCTCTCTCTCTCTCTTGATTTCTTTGTATGGTATTTCTCTCTTCTCTCTCTCTCTCTCTCTCTCTCTCTTGATTTCTCTGTATGGTATTTCTCTCTTCTCTCTCTCTCCCTCTCTCTCTCTTGATTTCTCTGTATGGTATTTCTCTCTTCTCTCTCTCTCTCTCTCTCTCTCTCTCTTGATTTCTCTGTATGGTATTTCTCTCTCTCTCTCTCTCTCCCGTATTCGTTTCTTTTTCTCTCTGTTCGCGTTGGCGACTCACCGCCGCGGGCTCTTCCAATTTCCTCCCTGTCTCGCGCGAGCGTCTACCCGCATTTTTTCGCGCATCCTCGCGGATATTCGGCGAACGATCAGGGAGGAAATTTGAAAATAACGCGAGCTCGCGCTCAAAGAGAGCGTCCATAAGGAGATTACCGGGGAAATTCTATCCCCTAATGGATATCCGTAACAAAGGGAAGTCGAGCGAATCGATTTTCGAATTAAGAAAACCGACGGAAGACGAAGCTCAACCGTTTGCGACCGGGATCCTTCTCTAGCTTACTCGTTCGCAGGTCTCGAGCAAACATTTTTAGTACGGGAACGAGATTGTGAACTGGAGAGCCAATTGTTACTTAAACAAAGGAGTATATGCTGCGTATAACGATATTAGTGTAGCATAATTATCTTTTTGCATTAGGAGAATATAAGGTCTTCTACAGATTATGGAAGCTGTCTGATCCTTGCACTGTACAATGGGAAATGCATGAAAATGTGTGAAATTAAAGAAGACTCGGGAATCTGTCTGATTCGTGCACCATACGATGAGAAATGCATTAAAGAAATGTATATGCGCGATGTTTCCAAATGGAATTAAGTTGAACGAAGTCGCTGGTTGCCTTTATGTACACTTTAATATTACAGTACAGCTATGGTCTTAGCGATGCGTTATTTGCGTTCTATCTGCGTTCTTAGAGTTCTACGAGTTCTGGGAGTTCTAACAGTTCTGACTAACGTTCTAGGTGCCCTTCCGCTTCTCACCTCGGTTTTTTTGTTGATTGGTGGATGGTGGGTTTTGGTGGAGGAAATGAAGCGTTTTTGATTGGAGATGGGTGTGTCGGAAGGAACTTGAAATGAGGAGTGGGAAACTGTTCGAAAGTTCGGGTTGTAATTTTTCCGTTTTGTGAAATATGGAATTGATGAGTCGTGTTGTCCGTTCGTGTTGTTCGTTCGGATGCATTTTTTACTGTCGCAGGTATATCGCTTAATTGCTCAAGGGATGGCCAGGGACGTTCGACCTTCGGCGTTGCCGTCGCAACAAGAAACAAGACTAAAAGATTTCGGAAACTGTGAGATTCTCACGCTATACGATGGAGAATGCATTAAAAAATGCAACCAAAAGATTTTAGAAGCTGCACGATTCCTGCATTATAGAATGAGAAATTCACGAAAATATTGTAAAACTAAAAGATTTTGGTTGCTGTCCAATTCTTGCACTATACAATGAAAAATGCATGAGAATGTGTAATACTAAAAAGTGGACTTGCCCGATATTTGCATCAAGGGTCTCCGTTCGTTTAATTTAGCAGATGGAAATTTTATGGAATTGAACAATGGTGGAATGGAAGTATTAGTGGCGAAAGTCAACAGACATCGAGCTCGAATAAGCGCATGTTGTGGAAGATAGTACGTGACTGTTCTCGGGGCCAAAAATCTGCCCGAGGGTTTATTCGTGGAGATAGGAAGATCACGACCCGCAAACGTTGGGGAAGGCTCTGGTTTCTGTTCGTTCTGCTCTGCCTGCCAAATCACGGCGCGGAATCGACCCTGCTACAGGTTACACGGCAAACTTCGTTACTGCCAATGATCATCGAATCAAACGTGAGAACTGCCAGGGCACTGTTTCTCGAGCAAGACCGACAAAGTGGAGTTATATTTTCCGACCGAACGGACGATAGATCGGTGTTGCATATTGTGGGCTCGATAACAGCGTGTCGAATTGATATAGTAAGCTACATTTCATTTTACGGCGACGTAAATCCTTTGATCCAATATAAAGTGTTTTCTTGAATATGTTTCATGGAGATTCCATTCAAATATATTCGGCCATGTAAGAGCTAGTTCAGCAAGTCGCATAAATCATTCAGCATTATCTGATAAATAGGTGCTCTCGAACACCCTCGCAGCTTCAAGTCTATTGGGAGCTGTTAGAATTTACTTCCACGCTTCTCTCGATGCTGTTATTTTCTTCGCTTTCGTTCGTTTAAGTTTAAAGAGACAAATTATTATTGTGTTTATTCAACGAGACAGTGTCTAAAGAATTCTTAATTTTTTACACATACGATCTTCAATACTTCAAGATTTATGGTGTATTTTATGTAGTTATAGTTTGGCGAACATAAGCACGGCGTAATGTATTCAAAAATGTTTGGTCATCGTTCACTTTGTCTATTTAAGTTAAAAAGATTTATTTTGCTGAAAAGAAAAGTCTTGCACTATCTTAAACCATTGCACAAATTGAAAAATTACGTATACTTAACGCAGCATTTCCGTGTTAAGCAATTTTGAATCAACGGACATTATTGTTACGTTAAAATTGATTATAAAAGGTCCCAGATTCAATCCCGAAATGGAGATATATTTTACGTTCCGATAATATCAAAAAATAGTTACTGTAACAATTTTAAGTACGCAGATTAAGGCTACAAAATTAATCATTTCAAAGATGTTAAAAAGGCTTCGTGTTTGTTAATTCCTTGCAATAAATGAACAATAATTAGTACGGTAAATCGAAAACGTTGACGATCATTGGAAATTTAATGAACTCGAATAAATAAATATTGTTACGACTTGTCCAAATCAAGTCGCTGTAATGTGAAACTGCCCTGTTGTGAACAACTCCTTAAAGAATAATAGAAGATAGGGTTTGCCACGGACGAGTGTTACCAACGGACAATCGGAGAGTCGAGATCGGACCGTCGAACGATCAACATCCCACTTCTGAAAGATCTGAATTGTATTTGTATCGAATTGTGTTATAGTTAATATTCTTTATTGTAAATGAAATGCCGCGATGCGAGAGGAATCGTGTAATTCGCAACAATATAAATAAATGTAAAAAAGTAAAAATGTACAAATAAATGTAAATTAGGAATAATTTAATAATTAATAATATATTAATAATTATTAATATAATAATAATTTTATTAATATATTTTTTATTAATATATATTAATAATTAATAATATATTTAATAATTAATAATACCGTATATTTGAAAAATAAACAGATATTTTGCGCTCACCTGTACATCCTTGGTGAACTGATTATTGCAGTAAATATGAACGGCGGAGAACTCTCTGACATGATCGAACTCGAATTTGATTTCGAGCGGATGGCCGGATCTGGTGTCGTTTCTCCAGCCGACCCATCCCTGGCCCCGATCGTAATCGTAATAGCTCATCTTGAAGTTATCCGGGCCGATCTTGCCGTCGGTCAGCTGTCCAAGGCCACGCAGAAGCTGGCCATCCCAGTAGCCATCGTAAGTCGCGTCGAACAACTCCCAATTGCCGCGTTTGTCACCCTGTGGCATCGAGTACGACACGATGCCGTCGTTCCATGGGCAGCCGTACAATTCCACGCGCATGCAAACGGTGCGCCGATGATAACTGTACGGCAAGAAGCGAACTTTGCTTGCCCACATTGGCGGCTCCAATTCGTGCTTAGACTCCAAGTAGGTGTTCGTGTTCCCTTTGATCACCTGCGACAGACAATGCAGAAATACTCGTTACGTACCATGCTTGACACTCTGTCCGGCGACATCGATTCTGTTCAACGCGACACGTTTATCGCACACTTTCAATTTTTCAGAAGAAAGACACGTATGTTCTCTTAGAACGTATCTTCATTTTTGTTGTATTTTTATGAAAAAGAAAATGGTTCGAACGAAAGTTGGTGCGATATAAATTTTAATTTATATATATTGCATTTCATTTAATATTATTAATATGAATTTGTGCGATATAAAAAGGAGCGTGTGCTATAACAATTAATTTTTTGCTATTTTCCTTTCCTAAATGGTGTACCAAAAGCGATAGTCCCTAGAATAGGGAACGAGTTTGTATAAGTTAATTAAGTCTGTTAATAACGTGTAAGTAAATTGCGTGTGATAATATCGTATAACCAAAATAATGTAATATAAAAATAATTATGTTAATCGATTATGCCCTCTTAGAATGTTCTAAGAGGACATAATTGAAATTTATTTAGAAAGGTAGATCCTTTCTAAATAAAACTAAAGAAGGTGCATCTCGATATGATCAATAGTTTCCGACATAAAAATTCCTAAGTACAGCCTATTTACGCAAAAATAAGGAAAAATGGTAAATTTCAGGTTGCTGTATTTTTTAAGACAAATTCGAAATTAGCAAAATTATGACTTAACCTACACCCTCCCTCTCCTAATGGACTACATTATACAATAGTTATAATGGCGGAGTACTAATTTAGGAATTGCATCTCGAAAGAATTCTAGTTTGACTTATTGATGCTGTTTTAAGTTCGTTTTCATTAATTTTTGTACGTTTTGAAGTATCAAATTGTACTTCTGTTTTGTAATACGTATAACTAGACTGCGGATTTTATGCATTTATGATGAAACTGATTAATAAAAAATAACATAATAATAATAATAATAATAATAATAATTTTATAATATAACATTTACGGATATCATAAAAATGGGAGTGAGAGACATCTATAACTGAAATCGGCAATTACTTAGTTGCCAACCCAATAGTAATGGGAAGAGCACTGGAGCCGTTATAGCATGGTGATGGAAATGCTCGAAATGAACAGGGTTACTGTTCTATGCGTCATATGCGATTCATAGTTGTCGTCAGAATTGAGTATTGTACATTTAATAAATGATTACCGAGTTGTAAATTAATAAATGATTTCCTTAGATTTCGTTCACGCTGTGTTTGCTTGGCACTTTAATAAGAGGACAGTAAATTCTCCCTAATTGATGCTCAGATTGTATAAAAGAAATGGACAATTAGGGAAGGAGAGATACGATTATTCGAGCCTTGCAATTCTGGTCGCTTTTCGGATATCATAAAAATGGGAGTGAGAGACATCTATAACTGAAATCGGCAATTACTTAGTTGCCAACCCAATAGTAATGGGAAGAGCACTGGAGCCGTTATAGCATGGTGATGGAAATGCTCGAAATGAACAGGGTTACTGTTCTATGCGTCATATGCGATTCATAGTTGTCGTCAGAATTGAGTATTGTACATTTAATAAATGATTACCGAGTTGTAAATTAATAAATGATTTCCTTAGATTTCGTTCACGCTGTGTTTGCTTGGCACTTTAATAAGAGGACAGTAAATTCTCCCTAATTGATGCTCAGATTGTATAAAAGAAATGGACAATTAGGGAAGGAGAGATACGATTATTCGAGCCTTGCAATTCTGGTCGCTTTTCGGATATCATAAAAATGGGAGTGAGAGACATCTATAACTGAAATCGGCAATTACTTAGTTGCCAACCCAATATTTCAGTTTGATAAAAATCACAAACACATCGCGGGGAAAGAAGTGATCGATTTGCTGTGGAAATAACCCAGCTATAGTTACAGACGTGTTCGATGCAAATGCAAGCTCAACGCATCGAGAGTGTCATAAATATATTTTCAAATCACGATATCGAAGCCATACGATTTCAATGATAAAATAAAAGGTCGAACATTCGGCAAACCACAGAACGTTGATGCCACATATTACATCACGATACGATCTACAAAAGTAGAATGAGAAAACACTGAAACGACACATTATACTACTGACCACACGGTCGATACTTTCGAAGAATATTCTTCAGCGAAAGATTACAGTGTTTAATGAACGTATTAAATTTAACGTTTGAACAACATGTAAACATTCGTGGCTAGAATCGGCGGCGGCGCAGTGTTTGAATATTTCTCCGCACAGCAATTTCCTCCTCCGCGGTGTCGGCGGAGGGGATAAGTATGGTACCCGAAAGGTATCATTAAAATGCCATAAACCATCGACGCCGGGGTATCAATAATAAAGATTCGGGCATGACGCGTGTACACCTGTCGGGATCACAGAGCGCGATAAACCACGGTCACGTAAGCGGGCACACGTGAGAATCTCGTGGCAGGGTCGAGAAGCGCTGTCAAGCTGGTAAGTGGAAAATAAGAGGTCCTTTGTTTCGAAGGGACGACCCTCGACGACGCCGTCCGAGAAATTCCCGATCCTCCTCCGCGATACACGCGTGTTTCGGCCTTCGGGGTCGCGGTCCGCCGGCTGAATAGAACGCGCGTTGTTCTATCCGAGAACGCGTGAAACGAGAAATCGCGGCGCCGTGGTATGCCCTAACGACTTGTAATAATGTTCCTAAAAATATTTCTGGCTCCTCCTTCGCCGCGAGAAGACCTTACCAAACGGACAGGACGGAGACATTATTTCAGGCCGGATAACATCCAGTTACATAGAGGACGCATTCTAGCTTGGAAATTAGACTGCGCTTATTTATGCGTGTTTAGACTTTCGACTCTCCTTTTTCATGATTAAAGCCGACAGGAAATTTACAATGGCTCTGATCTACAATCCAGAATTATGTTATGTTTGATCCTCCCATTTGCATCGTGCGTGCGTGAAATTTGCCGGCCAACGACGTCTTCCAATGACTTTTTGCTTCGTAAGTTGTGTCTCGTTTCTTATCACACTTCACGCGGGTCTTGTTCAGAAGATACGCCTTGTAAGAAGTATACTCTTGTAAGAAGCATACTCTTGTAAGGAGTATACTCTTGTAAGAAATATCCTCTTGTAAGAAATATCCTCTTGCAAGAAATATCCTCCCGCAAGTCTGAAATTATTCGAAGCATTTGAAGACGCCGCTGAAAATATTTTTAAGTACACGAAAAACATGTTTTGTGAGTGAAAGAAATTTGCAAACGTGGTTTCTCGATTTTCGAATTACATGAATCATTAAAAGTAGCGTCTATTCTAGATCTGTTGGATATGTACGCGTAGCGACATCAATTAAGAAGCATGTTACGTAGATGCATATTCTTGGATGTAATTAACCTTCTTAACGTAGTATAAAATTTTGTATCGCGTCAACGAAAATATTAATTTTATCTTTTTATAATTTTAAAGACTTTTATTTTCATTTCATTTTTTACATTTTTTGTTATCGTTTTCATTCGTTGTATGCATTAAATAGAGCAATATTGCAATACGAACAATACGTTTGCTTCACTGTAATAATTACTTTTAATTTAATAAGACGTGTATTTATTAAAATATCAGGTTTTGCAAAATGTTAACGATACGTAAAGTTTCCTAACTTTTGTCAGAAATTATAGTATTTAAGGACAATATTATAGTATTTATTTATAGTATACTATAATATTATAAAAATGTTAACGATACGTAAAGTTCCTTAACTTTTGTCAAAAATTATAGTATTTATTTATAGTATACTATAATATTATAAAAATGTTATGTAATCTTAACTTTTGTCAGAAATTATAGTATTTAAGGACAATATTGTAGTATTTATTTATAGTATTCTATAATATTATAAAAATGTTATGTAATCTTAACTTTTGTCAGGAATTATAGTATTTAAGGACAATATTATAGTATTTATTTATAGTATACTATAATATTATAAAAATGTTAACGATACGTAAAGTTCCTTAACTTTTGTCAAAAATTATAGTATTTATTTATAGTATACTATAGTATTATAAAAATGTTAACGATACGTAAAGTTCCTTAACTTTTGTCAGGAATTATAGTATTTATTTACAGTATACTATAGTATTATAGCATTTAAGGTCACAATAAAAAAGTAATACAAGCAAACTAAGCTTATGATTACCAAACTTCAGCTATTAGGTAAATCCACAGCAATATTTTTGCTGCCGTTAACGATGACGAGTACTCGACCGGCTAAACTTTGCGTTCGGACGATTCATCTGAAAGCCGATAATCGAATTGATCGGTGCCCAAGTTGCAGACCATTATGGCGCGCACTTCAACTTTGATTTGACCCGGTTATTATAATGGCTCCAATAATCCGCGTAGAGCCCGGTGAACCATTAAAATTAGACCAGTGTCGAGAGCCCTATCTCATTCGACGCATAGCAGAATGACATTCGTTTCTGTCGGACTGGCGCGCGTCCGGCCTTCGTTTTCACCAAGCGGCGTTGTTGGTTTTTTTTCCATTGGAAGTCAGGAACACGATCGCGCCCCGGAAGGAAACACGATTAAAAGATGAACGTCGTCGTCGGTCGAACGAGAGCCGCGAGGGCACGTTCCATGGCGAGGCGATCCAGTGTAATTGGGACCAGTAGCTGACACCGTTTTATTTGTGCTCGTTATTCCGACCGCGACGCCGCTACCTGATGTTTAGCACATCGAAACGAACGCGTGGAGCGCGTTTTACTTCGGATACCGGCCCGAGCGCGGCCCGGCGAACGGTTGAAATACAATGAGCCGACACGTATGAAATTTTGCTGCGCGCCGCGGAACCATCGTAGACAACTACCACCCATTCTCTACTTCGTTACAAGTGTTTAATGAGCGCGCCGCGGCGATCCATACTGACCCGGGCCGGCAACGCTCGTTAAGAGACTGAAATATGCCCGCGAATGGAACACGGTTCTGAAAGAAGCCCGCTCCAATGAGAAAATAAAATATCGTCGAGGCGGTCGGCGTC